AAGCAAAGAACAAACACTGGGATGGAAAAAAATATACCGGTGTGCCACTCTCCCCTCCAAGGTCAATGTGCACAGTACGTGCGCCAGTAAGTTTTCCTTATTCTTCTTTTTTTTCAGAATGATAGACGATCCCTCAGTTTTTTTTTTTCGGAAGCGCCGTCAGCGGCTGCAATCGTCATTCATCCGTGCAATTTCATATGATGCAGTCATCCGCGTCGAACAACTTGATGAGAGCACTTTTTTTTCCACAGCAGGAAAACTCGCCCATAAATGACTGGGTGTGATTTTGGTATACGGCCGTGACTGGGCAATTTCAGCGATAAAGAGGTCAATGGGTATGGCGGAACTGACGATGGAAAATGACCACCAGGAACTGATGACGGAAAATGACCACCGTTTCCAGATTTTTGATCGCTTACATAGAGTACTGATGCAATTCAGTATGGTGATAAAGACCCCTCCCTATTCTTGTGGTAGTGGTCCAAATAGAAGCATTAGTCCAAACTTACAAATCCGTCGTTACTCGCTTCTGAGGAAGTTTGCTCAGATTTCTCCGTTGAAGTCACTGTGATCGGCGCGGTAGTGGTTGTCGTGGCTGTATTCTCAGTCAAGCTGAAACATCAAGCCTTTTGGGTGAGATAGCGATTACCAGGTATCTAGGAACCCACTCGTTGCGCCTTGGGAACGCTGGTAACTCATTAACTGGCTGCTGCTGCTGAATCTGAGGCTGTGCTTCCTGTTGTTGAGCTTGCGATAACAGTTCGTATCCGAGCATACGCTGGCGAAGTTCAGCCCTAAAAAATGGATTAACTCAATCATTGTCTGGATTGTGGTAATGATGACGCCAATCTGTGGAAGCTCTGAACATTCTGACTCGAAGCCTCCAAAGCCCTTCCATTTGGATAAAATATTTTAATAAAATGCTGAATGCGTTGAGAATTCACTTTCCTTGGTTCAGGCTAGAGAACAGCGGTTCATTGTGAAAACGAAGGCCTGATTGTCGTTTAAGTTTTTCAAAAAATCCTGTTCCGCCTTTCAGCATGGGCATTAATGGAATGGTGTCTCTGTCCATAAAACTGATCACATGCAGCTATCAGCGGAACCGAATTTGATAAGATCTGACAGCGCCTGAGAAGAGCGGTTCGGAACAGATATTCTCCTGACTGATATTTTGAAAAAAACTTCTCTAGCACTGCACGTGCGGAAACGCGTCGACAAGAGTTACTAAAAAGTGAGCAGGTCTCTTTCAACCAAGAGTGCAACTTATGTTTGCTTTCGGATTCCTGTTACCCCTTTCACTTGAACAAAAATATTCTTGTGCGCAAAATTCATAAATATAATCTGAAACAAGGATTCAAGAAATCACATCAAAAAGTGACGCGTGGAGCCGAATAAAATCTGACATTTCAAGCTAGGAGGCTCGATCCTTTATAGGGAATGTTTTGTTTGCTGAGAGCGAAATAGTTCATGCTCATGCCAACTTTTAGCTAAGTGAAGGGAATGGAATCCAATCCTGCAGAGACTCATTCTGGAAGCCAGAATGAAGTATGGGAGGAACCGCGTTCCGCATCTGCCACATTGTTTCTATGTAGCTTATTTGGTTCGGACGTAAGAGAACGGCGAATTAATTGAAAGGCTCCTAAGAATTGGTTGTTGAAGCTTGTTGAAGTTTGATGGAGAGTCACTTACAAGTATCTCTATTGGACAAATTGCAGGATGGGTCTGAACTATGTACAAGTAGAACCTCACGCGAAGTCATTTCGTCCCGAGACTCCTTTGTGGTGATGTAAGTGAATGAACAGCGGAACCCCAAAGAATCTCCTATTTCTCACTATCCAACCAACAGTGAAAGACGGTCCTTATTCAGAGTTCTAGTCTACAAATTGGACATGTGCCATGTAATCCGCAAGAAACAGAACAGAACGGCTCGGTCGGAACTTGGCTGTGCCCTCACTGTGCACGTGGTATGTACATGCCTAAGCCCACGACACAGTGCATACTAACGTGGGCAGTTAAATGGGGTTACAGGAGGACGCAAGGTTTATCTCATCTCTTGCAGACCTGTTAAAAATACTCATGAGAGCTGGTAATCCTGTGGCATTGGAAGACTATTCGCGCAGGACTGTGATCAAGGTTATCCGGACGACGTTGCCAGACTGGAAACTATTTCATCCACCCAGGAATTCTCACCCATCTCAGGCTTAGAAAACATTCCTCATCTCCTCTACTTCAAAAATAGCTTTGCAGGAAGAGCCCTCTATAGCCGGAAATTATTACCGCCCTTAAGGTCAAGGATACGCGTGGAATGCTATCCCTGCCAAAGTGCCAAAAAAGGAGAGCGATGAGTGGTGGGAGGGCAAATTGCTATACCTGCACGCTGAGAACGCAAAGCCTTGAGCTCCAAACATGTGATGGTAATGCGGGCCAAAAAAGACCTGAGCTGTATTAGACTCTCAGGTTTCTGAACACATAAAATTACCATTTCAGCCTGAGGAAAGCCTGATCTCTTTGTCTGTTGTAGGTGATCTCGGATATAGTCAGACATAACAACACGATGAAGAACGCTGCCACAATCCATGACAACACTGAAACTCATGGTTGTGCGACAGTCAGGACTTGATTTAATGAGAACCGAAGCAACCTCCGCATCCGAATCTTTTTCTCGGTGCTGCCTGTGGGACGATGATTGGAGTTGGCATAGGCAGAGGTGCCGGTGCCTCCGCAGAAGCCTGCAACAAATATATTCTTTTCAGAACCAGCATTTCATTCAAAACATTATTTATCAATAGACAGCACATCTTATCTGTTACCAGTATTCTTTAAAAATTGTTTCTCACGAAAGATTGTGGTGATTTTTATTGAACAGTCAGTTCGAGGAAAAGGAGCAGAGGTATTCTTGAAAACATATCAGGATACTCTGATGGAAAAAAAGCGCTCAAGTGGACAATTTTTTCAGATCAAAGGATATTAGGGATAGCTTCCGAAAGAGCTTGTTTACACTGATCAAGATTAACTCCTTCACAAAAATGTGGTGCCGACTCTGGAGAAAC